ATTTAATCAATATTCTGTCCACCCCCCCCCCCATTTTTTTTCAGCACACACAACATCCCCACCCCACCTCCAAAACCCTAAAAAATGTATTAAATGTATTATGGTGGGAAAGAAACGCTGGGCCCAGGCAAATACTTCTGATTTAAATTCTTCCCCCCTCCCCCCCTTTTAGGTCAGCTGCCATGTATTGCCCTGCTTTTATCACTCCTCACCAGTTCTGGTCAGTGTCATTATATATCCTATTCAAACACAACAGGTGAAGAAGCACTGGCTCGGTCCTAACTACCTGAGTGAAGGCATCTCTGGCAATGACGTCAGCAGAACAAACGTCCCAGATATCCGAGTGGCCTACAGATATGACACCCTGGTTGATGAGCTGCGCTGCATCTGCCGCGGGGCCAAGGGTCTGGACCACGGAGACGGGGTCCCGGCAAAAACAATGTAAATGCTGAATGTTGTAAACAAATTTAACTGTTGAAATGTTTTCTAATTTTATTGCTCTCTTGTTAGTTAAGAGCGGAGCTCACTGTAAAAGTATGTCAGTAGCAGATCGAATGCTGTTCAAAGGCAGATAAAGTTTTGTCTTTTTACTTGATTGACTTGAAAAAGATGGCTATGAGAAGAAAATTGTATGCATAAAGCTTGTGGAGCATTGAAATATTTCTCACATCTCTTAAAATCTTTGTGGAATTGTGTGCAAGGCCATACATTATTCAGGCCAATGGAATGATTATTTTTACAAAGGTGGGACCACTGCCCTATTTAATGGTGCCCCACTGCCCTATTTAATGGTGGCTCACTGCCCCAATTATTTAATGGTGGCTAACTGCCCCAATTAGTTATTATTATTAGTTTATTAGTTATTGCCCTAATTATGTGTGTAATGTTGGCACACCTATATTTTGTATCACATTGCCCCACTTTCTGAAACTGCTACATCAACTGACATGATTATTAACTTCGGAAAAAAATATACATCTATCAGTAAAATTTACTTACCTATTATATTGCATGAGGCCATTTTGAAATGGCACATCTTCTGCTATATTTCTGTTCTAATGTGTTAATGTCACTGAAAGCGTGTCACTTTGACTAATGTTGATCTGTGCTGTTGTCACAGGCGTGTTCTCATTCATGTTGCATTCCCCAAACTGCTTGATTCTGTTGCTGCATGAGCTTAATAATAATGAAAAACTGATGTAATCAAAGCCAAGTTCTGTGTTCAGTGGCGTCTGACCTGTCAGGCGGAGATAAATATTGTTTTAACAAAAATCTGCATCTTCCAGATATTTTAAGTCAAATCCTTACAAATTAGTTCAATTGCTAAAATTCCCCCCCCCCCCCCCCCTTTTCCAACCCGATGGTATATCATAAGTCAATAGCTTTGAATGTGAATATAACGGTTATTAAGTGTCAGAGAATTTCAAGAAGCAGAAGTAAATTTAAATTAGCCAATGGCTTTTAAGTCACGTTATCTGTTTGCCTATTTCTGAAATGTTTGATGATTATGGTTACCTTGTTATAATGCATAGAATTACAGGTTGTTGGTTTTTTTCATGCCTGTATCTTTATTTAACTTGATACACAAGATGTACACTGATTCTTTGTGGAGTATATTTTGAAAAAAAATAGTTGTTGTACCTGATGTTCCTTTAAATTTGCTAATTTCCTATCACATCACTGTAGTGTAGAGACTATCTTACACTTTTTAATACCATCATAAAATGTAATGTTTCTTTTTTCCCCTATGTTGTTTCCTGGAAAGGCAGACACTTATGAAAGGGCTTCTTCCCAAAACTAAACTGCTGGATGTATTATTATAGTACTTTACTTACATTCTTCATTAAGACAGTATGTCATTAATGCATTTTGGGGAAAATAAAATTAAGCAATATATCCACCAAATTTATGATCTTATTATCATGATTTAAGTGGTTTCATCCAGATGAATGAATGGCATCGGTTTCAGCTAAGCTGATTTTTGACCTTTGGAAAACATAATTATTTCATTTTCCATTTGGGAAGTGCTCTTATTAAGTGTCAATTTTTTATTGAAATTCAGAATGACATATTGGTATTAGATGGTGTTGTTTGTTGTGTTGTAGCTGGCTTACTAATTGTTTCGGATGTTGTTCTTTTCAATTTTGTTTTTAATTTGAAATCCATAAACAAAAATAGTCCTGAAATAGGAGATTGCTTCAAGGTCAACATGAACAAGTAATTTGTTTGTTTATTCCTAAGCATTTTTTTAAAAATTCATAATACGGTTCGTCAGGGTTTACTGCTGTGAAGGTTTCACAAGCAGTCAGGATTTACTGCTGTGAAGGTTTCACAAGCAGTCAGGATTTACTGCTGTGGAGGTTTCACAAGCAGTCAGGGTTTACTGCTGTGAAGGTTTCACAAGCAGTCAGGATTTACTGCTGTGAAGGTTTCACAAGCAGTCAGGATTTACTGCTGTGAAGGTTTCACAAGCAGTCAGGATTTACTGCTGTAAAGATTTCACTTGAAAGAGTTTTTAAGGCTACATTGTAATGTTAATGAATGTGTTTGCTCCATCTCTAGCTGTACCTCATTTTCACGATGGCTTAAATCCAGTGCTGTAACTGACAGGAAATGGGCCAAAGCCCATTTACACAGACACATTGAACCCGTAAGACCTGTAGGGACATGTAAGGAGTCTTATTTGAAATTGGGACACCCCCCCCTCCTAAAAAAATTGCTTCTTCACACCTTTGCCCGCTTAGTCTACTGTGGCAATTTTTTAGAAATATAAAGGTCTCTGCAGACTACATTATATGCACAGAAAATATCTGACTATACTAGCAAGAAAAGCAGCTAAGAAAATAACAGTTGTACAATAAATTACTTTGAATGTTTAAGTATTTTAAGAAATACTATCTATTAGGATTTTACTATTTTTTAATTCCCAATTTTTAACATAAAAACTCAATGCAGAGTACCAAAATAATCAGTTTATGTCCCACCAAATTAATCAGTTTATGTCCCACCAAATTAATCAGTTTATGTCCCACCAAATTAATCAGTTTATGTACCACCAATAATTAAACCCACTCCACGATGTCTGTCTCATCATCAGATAATTTTACAATTGAGTAACAACATCCTCATCTTTTCTTTTACGCTACAGTCCAGCACAAACTAAATGGTGATATTAACATTTTAAAAAATTCTTTAGTTTAGCACCGTGGCTTGTGAATGCAATATACAACATTTTAGCTTTTTGGATTGTGTTGTAAAATGTGTTGTTCATGGTTGGGATAATTCAGTCACTGTCATTCTGAGCTAGTACATGCTTATTGTGTTGAAGCCATTTACATTTGATCTAGCAATGTGATGTATACAGCCAAATATTTCAATTAATAATTTTCAAGTTTTCCAGCATTTAGTAGTAAAATTTCTTTGTATACATTTCTTGACTGGTGGTGGGTACAATTTTGAAATGTTTCAATACTAACAAAAAAATCTTTTTTCTTTTTTTTTCTTTTTCACTTGGCTAATTTTTTTTAGAAAATGTTATTGTATTTGAAATAATTTAAGAAAAAGTTTAGTTTGTGAATTAGTTATTTCGAATAGTCTGAATATGAATGGTATTATGAATAATCTCATACAAATCTATAGACTGTATTGATCTGAGCTTGTTATATAAATCACTTGACGATATTTCTCTCTTGTTTGAAATAGTATTGCCTACTGCCTTGGGAGTCGTGTTTTCAAATTAATTTCTATATAAAATTTCATTCAACTTTTTTTCCTAGTAAACTTATTTTTTTTCTGTGACAACATTTTTTTTGCTGGTCTTTATTATACATTACATTAAAGACATGCCATCATAAAGGCCTATAAACTATACAAAGATATTTCTGTTGCTTGCTATTATTGGTTCATCTATCATTCATTGAAAAAAAAAAAAAGATATTGGATATTTTAATACGGCATATATTGACTCAGATAAGGAAATCTGTTTGCCCCGTCCAACACCACCCTCTTTTCTTTTTTTATGAATGTTATCTGTACAAGAACTCTGTGGTTATGCTCTGTGATAAATATGTTTACAAAAGTGGAAGAGGAAAAAAACAACGATTATAAAATATTTTTTAAAGTTGTTAAAGAACTTTTTAAAATAATGTTGAATGCTATAAAAAAAAAAGAAAAGAAAAGATATTTAAGAACCTGCTCTTGTCATGAATCCTTGAATGTTCTAAGAGTGAGTTCTGCACACAGCAGTTGGCAGTGTATGTTATTGGGTTACGCAGTCTGATATAGATTTCTATGAGAACAAACTTAATGGTAAAGAGCCATCAGTTGCACTGCTGGGATGGGTGGGGTGAATGTGTGTGACAGTGTCATTTGATTTTTTTTTTCCCTTTTCAAAACCTTTTATATCCTGTGTTTTGTGGTCATTATTCACCAATCATAGTGTCAACATTTTTGTCTTGAAATCTTCAAAATAAATCTTTTTAAAGGTTACCTCCTCTCTCTCTATATATAAAAATGTATTTATGCACTGTTCACCTAACGCTTAAAAGTAACAATCTCTTTTACTTTGTTTTTCTCAACAACTGCTTTCAAGAGTTCTTTTGTTCACATTCATCTATGAAGTTTAGGGACTATCAATAAATATAGTCGAGAATCTAGAGAGGGGGGGGGGGGGGGGGGTTTGTGTCAGGAGTTAGATGCGTGTTGTGTGGTAGTTGTGACCTCTTTGTGACCATAGAAAGAGAGGGTGGGGGTGTAAAAAAGAAAATAGCATGATGTCATTTATTGATGGCCCCTTACCAATGAGTTATAGAATAATTCATCTATTTAGTGTAAGACAGGTGTTTTAAAATATACTGTAATATTTGTATGATTTTTGAGTGTTCTCAAACAGCACAAAGTAAAGTAATCGTATTGATGGCCCCTTACCAATGAGTTATAGAATAATTCATCTATTTAGTGTAAGACAGGTGTTTTAAAATATACTGTAATATTTGTATGATTTTAGAGTGTTCTCAAACAGCACAAAGTAAAGTAATCGTATTGTTGAAAACATGCACATTAAATTAATTAACCAAATATTTCATTTTTATTTACATTTTTTAAAGAATTTGTATGCATTTATAATTTTAAAATTATTTTCCTATTTGGTTCTGTGTGTTGTAACAGTAGTATATCAATTGGTTGTTTGTGTTGCCAGTATCGCAATATTACAACCTGTATTTAATGTAAGTAGCATGGTATTGATTGATGCTGTGAGGAAGCTCATACTTTGGACACTGGTCAGTTCTTTAATATTTTTCTATTACACAATCATTCTGCTGTGTTTTCAGGTGGTCATAGTGGTGACTGCATGGGTTGACGCTGGCGACAGCCCACGGTGATGTTTGTGATAGAGCCGACTGCTGGATCCAATGATCAGCAGAGGAAGCGTGATACAGAGGCGCAATTTATAACGTGATTCTTGCAGTGGTTGGGGGGGGGGGGGGAGGGGGAGAATATTAATTGACATCAAACAAGAATTGATGAGAAATGTTAACAGCACTGAGCCAGCTGTTTTAACAGCGGATGCGGATGGGCTGATTGTTGTTCGTTGATTCCTTCTATTAGTTTGTAAGCAGGGGGGGGAGGATAGAATTTTTAATTTTCGATAGGGTCCTATGATAAATCCTTGTGACTTTTGAATATTTATTTAATGCAATACTGACACTGGTCGTAGAGTTTGTGTATCTGATTTTAAATTTTTTTAAATAATGAATAAGCTAAGACAAAAAAACTTGGCTAAAAAAAATTGCATTTATTTTCTGTTATAAATAGATTATTTTGTTTAGATTTTCTTATTTTAGCCTGCATTGACATAGATAAAGGTAAGGTATGTCTCTCCAAAGTCCTTTTTGAAGATAAAAAAAAACTTTTGTCGACTGGGGCATTTGGTGGTGTGTGCTCTCTTGCTATGATCACATTTATCAAAGTGTTATTTATAAGCGGTGTATTTTGAGTTTTGTATTTTTCACTTTCATTTGTATTGCTGTTATTTTTTTTCAAAAGGGAGGAACCCACAAACACACCGACACACTCACTCAAATCTACAGTTTTACATTTATTTTTACATTTGACAAAACCTTAAGTGTATAATAACTCAAACAATGTTTGAACCCATACCATGTTGAAGCAAGAAAAAATTTAAAAAATGAAATGTTTAGTTTGAGGAAGAAAAATCATTGAACAAAAGTCTTTTGATTTTTTAAAAATGTATTTCATAATTCAACTGAAAACTTGCAGTACAACCTGGCACAAGGTTAAAATTTGTTTTGTTAAAAAAATAATGTCACTCAAAGAAATTTTCATTTCTTTTTTATTAGACATTTGAAACACTGGTGCAGTCAGTGCTCAGTAAGCTGGAATATTTTCACATTTTCTTTCTGCTAAAGAGTATCTTGAACCTCTAAAAAAACAAAAATTGTATTTAATTGATTTTGCCAAATTGACGGTGATCTCTTAACATGAGCTAGTTGACCAAAGACCTGCCGCCCCATTTAATATGTATTTAAAGAGTTGGTTAAAAACCTGGTGAGTTTAAATGGACCCATCTGTCAACTGATGTTTCATTATTTTATAATTATTTTTTTTTGTATTGATATTTATGTTCAAACAGAACTTCTCTAATAATTTGACTACCGGTATTTTATTAATTTTAAAAAAATGAAAAGTGAGGAGTTTTTTAAAGAAATTTCAAGCAATTCAAAGGGAGGACAAGAAAACAATTTTTAAAAACAATTTCTTCAAAGGATTCCATCACTGTTTTATAAAATAATGCTTAATTAATTTTTTCTGTGTTATCAGTTAAAAAATATTTGAACATATTTGTTCCAAAGCTTTAATTTTATGTCAAAACTGAACATTAGTTTGTGAAGTAGTTAATCACTGAGTGAGTAAATCTAATTTCTAGGCCATATCCAATCCAAACTTATAAAATTATCATTTTGTTGACAGTTGGAACTTGCTGAGTGATTTTTTTTTTTAAGAAGGTCATTCCAAGGCAAGGGACCAATCAAACATAATGGCTTGTCCAGGAATAAGGAAAGCCTTGAAATCCAGTGTGGATATTTTTTTAATTCAATTTTTTTACTTGCTGAAACTTGTTGACATAACAATAAAATATATGAAATGTTCAACTTTGGCACTTCCATACATGTAAACATTTTTTAAAATAATACTATTATTAAATAGAACCCTGTGTTAAGTGCATCAGGAATACAGCCTGCGCCAAAAGTATCAGTGTTGAAAAGAAAAGAAGAAACAATATTTCCTTATTGTCATCTAAGTTAATACGCACTATTAGCTTGTTGATTTACCACGGCAGGCGTGATGTGATTGTTCATAGCGTGCACCGCCTTGCTGTGGACAGTATTGAAATCCCACGCAGATTTTTAAACATCTCACAGAATAATGGTGAATCTTCGCAGTTGAACAAACTCTCCTATAAAATATACCCAGAAACAGATGACGTAAAATCAGTGGAGTGACATAGTTATGGAATGTTAGTACCAGGTGAAATGGGGCATCCAGTTTTTCTGCAGCATGGCTATAGATTCTCCAGCTGTGTTGTTGGTGGCCCTTTCCTGTTCATAACCATGTCTTGTTCATGTGAAAGTTCCTTGCGGGCCAGAAACTTCTCAAATCCTGAAGAAATTGTTCGACCACCATGTCCCTGCAGCATTCTTGTATGCCTTCCTCACACTCAGTAAAGTAGGGGCCAAGTATACAGTACACTTCCATAACTGCAAAATGTCTTAACAGTAGACTGCATAACCGTGTTACTTGGTTCCATCTTATTGAATCTCGCTCGGAGTTGTTCTGCCACCCTTTTCAAACTCCGGTCCCCTTCACACCCAGTTCAGTACAAGCCAAAGTGGTTCTCAACTCCATAAAGAGAAGCATTTCCAACAACAACTGCACAGAGCAACTTTCTTGACACTTTACTGAACGCTGCAGCAATGCACTGTTGACTGACACATGCACATGTTCAAAATTGAAGCAGTTTCAGTTCTGATACCTTTGGCGCATGCTGTATTATTAATAACTAATATTGTTGCTGTATATTATTTCTTTAATGTTTTGGCAGAAGGAATTATATTCTCAAGTGTTAAATAAATAAATACATTTTTTTTTTAAATTTATTTATATTGGTTTAAATAGACATTTGAGGTTTCAAACAAATTTTTTAAGGATCTTGAAACCCTTCTCACCCTCCTTTTTGTGACCTACTAAAATTAGCGTAGTCTCTGTGTAGAAATGACCATTTCTCAAAACAAATAAGTCACTGCTAAAACAAACCCAGAATAAAAATGTTCAGCCTGGTCGGCCCTGTGATATACCATAATATTAATTAGTATTATTCCAAGAATTCATGAGATTCGTGTGTTCCACACACTTATGTTGCCCTACTAAATCAACCGCTGGATGAAAATGTGTCCTTTTTTTTTCTTCCTTTGCTCTGGTTTATCTTAAATGTTCTCATCCTGTGTTAAGTTCAGAACTTTCCAGCCCTTAAAGTCTCAGCTGCCCAGTTGTAAATGTCATATATTGTTTTATTTCTGCATCAAGCCATTAATAAATATTAAAAATACGGTATAGCATCAAATAATTTGCTTGCACAGACTTTTGCAATATTTGTTTCATGTTCATTTATGATTTTTTTGGTTTTCACCAATTTTTATTGGGCTTGGTTCAAGCAAGCTGTAGTTTTGTTTACAGAGTCACAATGACAAAAGTTTCAAATTATTTCAGAATAAATGAAACTTGTCATTCACATCCCATTTATTTTTTAAATGACAAAATGTATCTATTCCATCGGTCTGTATGTCATATTTTATGCTGCAATTACCTGTTTTACATACCTCACAAATTAAAGCTTGGGCTGTTGAAAATCTCAAAAGTTCTATCAAATATTGCAATTATACACACAACTTGTCCCAAGGCCCCTCACCTCATGTACAGTACAAGTACCGGTCCCAAGGCCAGGCTTTGGTTAGTGTGAAAGTATTTGGCGTCCACAGCCAGATGTAGGACAGCTAAATTGTTTGATGTCGTTTTATAAGGACGCAATGCTACTGTTGTCTTGTTGCATATATTTAGATACAGCAGTTGCAACTAGTTGAACAAGGTCGGCAGATTCTTATCTTCTCTGGTCAGAGGCCCTGGAATTTCTCAGACCTGTAATGTTGAAAGCTGTGTATCCAGTTTTGTTTTATGAACTCTGGTATTTCATTCTTGTGTACACAAAGAGATGAACACTTCTTCTTGACTTGCATTTTAGAGCAGTTACCCTGGGGATGGTTCTTGACTTGCATTTTAGAGAAGTTACCCTGGGGATGGTTCTTGACTTGCATTTTAGAGCAGTTACCCTGGGGATGGTTCTTGACTTGCATTTTAGAGCAGTTACCCTGAGGATGGTTCTTGACTTGCATTTTAGAGCAGTTACCATGGGGATGGTTCTTGACTTACATTTTAGAGCTGTTACCATGGGGATGGTTCTTGACTTACATTTTAGAGCTGTTACCCTGGGGATGGTTCTTGACTTACATTTTAGAGCAGTTACCATGGGGATGGTTCTTGGCTTACATTTTAGAGCTGTTACCCTGGGGATGGTTCTTGACTTACATTTTAGAGCAGTTACCATGGGGATGGTTCTTGACTTGCATTTTAGAGCTGTTACCCTGGGGATGGTTCTTGACTTACATTTTAGAGCTGTTACCCTGGGGATGGTTCAAATGTTTCCATGTTGTTGCTTTTTTTTTTCAAAAATGAGAGAAATGTTTTTACTTAAATTGCTATTGGAGATTTATTTTATATTGAATATTCTTGTTAAGGACTTGAAGTTGATGATCACTTGGATATTTGTGGATATCATTCAATTGTATCTTCCATAATAATACAACTTCGTGTACTTTCATATTTGTTGCAATAAACAAATATAAGTATTTTAGATTATAGTGTGATTGTATAGCAATGCGCTGGTTCTCTAGAATTTATTCATTCAATTTCTCCGGTCTTTAGGGGGTAGAGATAACGATGCCTAAAGATTAAAATTTGGATTCCCCTCAAATATCAGGGAGTTTTCACCAGTGCTGTGTGTGTGCCACTACTGGTCAGGGATAGGGAGTTTTCACCAGTGCTGTGTGTGTGCCACTACTGGTCAGGGATAGGGAGTTTTCACCAGTGCTGTGTGTGTGCCACTACTGGTCAGGGATAGGGAGTTTTCACCAGTGCTGTGTGTGTGCTACTATTGGTCAGGGATGTCTTTTAAATCGTTCAATGACCGTAACGTTCTGACCGGTATGTTCCGAAATAAGATTTCACTGGTTGGAAACATTTGTCAAAATGAACTCGTAT